CTAACATAAGTTATAGAACATAAAAGAAGATAATTTGAGAAACTTCTCATTATTTTTTGTTCATACAATGAAAGTCATTGGTAACCAAAACTAGCTTTGTTACAGCAGTCTTCAAAATACCTTCTTTTCTGTTCCACAAAAGAAAGTAACTTCTTATACTGAACTGTTGTATAAAATCACATTTGCACTCGTGTTCTTTGTGACAGAAACAGCTCTGATATTGCTCTCGCTGCTGGTGTGATATTGCTTATCATATTATATAAATAAGAGACAAAAACTCATACAGGGGCATTTTTTTACCCCAATATCTTGAATTTTAGGGCATAGCTGCATATGGAGTTGTTGTCCTGCATCATATATATATATATATATATATATTAGTGCTATCAAACGATTAATCACAATTAATCGCATCCAAGATAAACATTTTTGTTTATATAATATATGTATGTGTGCTATATATATATATATACACAAACACATGCATGTACATATTTAAGAAAAATATGTTATGTTTATATTTTTATAACCCTTTACAATTTTCTATATTTCTGCATAAATATGACCCAAAACATCATCAGATTTTCACAAAAGTCCTGAAAGTAGACATAGAGAACCCAATCAAACAAATGAGACAAAAATATTTTCTTTGTCATTTATTTATTGAGAAAAATGACACAGTGTTACATTTCTGTGTGGTGCAAAAGTGTGTGAATCTCTATATTAGCTGTTAATTTGAGGGTGAAATTAGAGTCCATCTGTTCAGAGGCGTTTTCAAACAGTGGAATGACTATCAGGTGTCAGTGTGTGCCCTGTTTTATTTAGAGAACAGGGATCTATCAAAGTCTGATCATGTTTGCGGAAGTGAATCATGGCAAGAACAAAAGAGATCTCCGAGGACCTCAGAAAAAGAGTTGCTGTTGCTCATCAGGCTGGAAAAAGGTTACAAAACCATCTCTAAAGAGTTTGGACTCCACCAATCCACAGTCAGACAGATTGTGTAGAAATGGAGGAGATTCAAGACCACTGTTACCCTCCCCAGAAGCGGTCGACCAACAAAGATCACTCCAAAAGTAAGACTTGTAATAGTCTGCGAGGTTGCAAATGAACCCTGGGTAATTTCTAAGTAACTAAAGGCCTTTCTCACATTGGCTAATGTTAATGTTTATGAGCCCATCATCAGGAGAACACTGAACAACCATGGTGTGCATGGCAGGGTCGCAAGGAGAAAGCCACTGATCTTCAAAAAGAAAATCACTCAAGAAAAAGAAACACTCAGAAATGTTTTGTGGACAGATGAGACCAAAATAGACTTTTTTTGGTTTATATGAGAAGTATTCTGTTTGGAGAACAGTCCATGAACTGAATCTCAAGAGAAACTGGGCCATGCAACAAGACAACAACCCCAAGCACACAAGTCATTTTACCAAAGGATGGTTAAAGAAGGACAAAGTTAATGTTTTGGAATGGCCAAGGCAGAGTCTGGATCTTGACTCAATTGAAATGTTGGGGAAGGAGCTGAAGCAAGCAGTTCATAGGAGGAAACCCACCAACATCACAGAGCTGAAGTGGTTGTGTACTGAGGAATGGGCTAAAACTCCTTCAAGATGTTGTGCAGGACTGATCAGCAGTTACAAGAAACTTTACCTGCAGTTACTGCTGCAAAATTGGGTCACACCAGATACTGAAAGCAAAGATTCACACACTTTTGCACCACACAGAAATGTAAGATTGGGTCATTCTTCTCAATAAATAAATGACAAAGAAAATATTTTTTGTCTCATTTGTTTGATTGGGTTCTCTTTGTCTACTTTCAGGACTTGTGTGAAAATCTGATGATGTTTTGAGTCATATTTATGCAGAAATATAGAAAATTGTAAAGGGTTCACAAACTTTCAAGCAGCACTGTATATATTTATATTCATATAATTTATACATACTGTATATATAATATATAAATTATATGAATATAAATATATACATGTATATACATTTAAATATGTGTGTGCTTTTATATATACATAATAAATATACACAATACATACATATATAAACAAACTTTTATTTTGGATGCGATTAATCACCATTAATCGTTTGACAGCACTAATATACAGTATATGTATGTGTATATATATATACATTTGTATAATATATTATTTGTTTGTTTGTTTGGATAAATAAATTAAATATTGAAGGCTCTTAAAACATTCAGTGAAATTGCAATGCATTCAAGTCATGCAAGCAATGTTGAAATGATACTGTTTATGAGATGAGCACACATGAGTGACATTTTCTCCACACATACTGCTTAGAATTAAGGCCAAAAAGTTCTATCTTGGCCTCATCCGACCAGAGAATCTTATTTCTCACCATCTTGGAGTCCTTCAGGTGTTTTTTCATGTGTCTTGCACTGAGGAGAGGCTTCCGTCGGGCCACTCTGCCATAAAGCCCCGACTGGTGGAGGGCTGGAGTGATGGTTGACTTTCTACAACTTTCTCCCATCTCCCGACTGCATCTCTGGAGCTCAGCCACAGTGATCTTTGGGTTCTTTTTTACCTCTCTCACCAAGGCTCTTCTCCCCCGATAGCTCAGTTTGGCCGGATGGCCAGCTCTAGGAAGGGGTCTGGTGGTCCCAAACGTCTTCCATTTAAGGATTATGGAGGCCACTGTGCTCTTAGGAACCTTAAGTGCAGCAGACATTTTTTTTGTAACCTTGGCCAGATCTGTGCCTTGCCACAATTCTGTCTCTGAGCTCTTCAGGCAGTTCTTTTGACCTCATGATTCTCATTTGCTCAGACTTGCACTGTGAGCTGTAAGGTCTTATATAGACAGGTGTGTGGTTTTCCTAATCAAGTCCAATCAGTATAATCAAACACAGCTGGACTCAACTTAAGGTGTAGAACCATCTCAAGGCTGATCAGAAGAAATGGACAGCCCCTGAGTTAAATATATGAGTGTCACAGCAAAGGGTCTGAATACTTAGGACCATGTGATATTTCAGTTTTTCTTTTTTAATAAATCTGCAAAAATGTCAACAATTCTGTGTTTTTCTGTCAATATGGGGTGCTGTGTGTACATTAATGAGGAAAAAAAAAATTAACTTAAATGATTTTAGCAAATGGCTGCAATATAACAAAGAGTGAAAAATTTAAGGGGGTCTGAATACTTTCCGTACCCACTGTATATATAAATTATATGAATATAAATATATACACATTTAAATATGTGTGTGCTTTTATATATACATAATTGTTACGGGGCTGACGAGACGTGAGACTTGCGGATCCATGTGCAAGCTTTATTTGATAAAGACAGAGACGTGGTCATACAGCAGGCCTGGGTCAGATGAGGGCAAACAGGTATATGGAGGGCAAAACACAAGAATAGTCCTAGGG